GCCAGTGGGCGACTGCCTCACCCGGGAAGAGCGCAATGATAATACCAACATGGGCCAGTAAAGCGACGTCCTCCACAACTAGATTGAAGAACAAAAGGACAGCAACTTGTCTGTTCCCCTCTCCTAATTCCCCAATAAAATCTTTAAAAAAAAAAGAATCTCCACGAAATCCAAGTAGGACAAAATCCATTAGAAATAATAAGTATATGTAGCAAGGTTACAAAATATTAGGTCAATATACAAAAATAAATTTTATTTCTGAAACTAGTAATAACATTTGGAAAATAAAATTTTAAAATAATAACATTTACAATAGAAAAAAAAGAATATCTAGGAATAGATCTAAAAATATATATACAACCTATACACTAAAAACATTAGTGAGATAAATTAATGAAGGCTCCATAAATAAAATGATATACCCTCTTCACATATTGGAAGATTCAATATTGTTAAGATGTCTATGTTCCCAAACTGGTATATATATTAAATGAAATCCCAGTTGAAATCCAAGCAGTATGGATTTCTTTTAAGAATGTCCTAATAATTCTAAAACTCATGTTGGAAACACAAAAGACCTAGAATAACTAAAACAATCTTTCAAAATGAATAACATAGTTGGAAAACTTACACTACTTAATTTCACAACTTAGTGAAAGCTATAGCAATCAAGACAATGTAGTATTGTATAAGGACAAACTAATTGCTCAATGAAATAGAATAGTGGTATATAGATATACCTAATGTATATCGTCAATTTACTTTTTACCAATGATGCTAATTCAATTTAATGGTCAAAAAGAAAATAATTTTTTTAGCAAATATTGTGAAAACTGCTAAATATCCATAGGTTAAAAAAAAAATCAGTTTTGACCACTACCTCATTCTATACACAAGAATTAATTTAAGATTCATCATAGGCCTAAATGTGTAAGTTAAAACAATAAAATGTCCAGAAGAAAATATAAAGTAGCATCTTTGTGACCTGTGGCAGGCAAAGGTTTACTATTGATAGAAAGAACCATAAATTACTAAGCTTAAAAGATAATTATGTGTAAATTGGACTTCAACAAAATTAAAAATTTCTTCATATCAAAATATTTTATTAAGGAAATGAAGTTCCAGCCATAGGCTGGAAAAATATTTGCAACACATATGTCTGACAAAGGACTTATATCTAGAACATATAAAGAACTTCTTTAAATTAGTAATAAAAAATAAGAAATCCAATTTTAAAAAATGGCTGAAAAGTTGAAAAGCTATTTCATAGAAGATAAGTAAAACATATAAAAAAAGGCCAATAAGCACTTGAAAAGGTGCTTAAATTCATTAGACATCAAATATATGCAAACTAAAACCACAGCTAGATATTGTTTAATACTCACCAAAATGGCTAAAATGACCAAGACCAATAATACCAGCCACTGGAGAAGCTGGGGAGCAACTGGAACTCTGATGCTTTACTGGTGGAAACATAAAATGGTACCACCACTTTGCAGAACTCTATTGAAGTTTCTTATAAAGTTAAATATAGAATTACCATGTGAAACTCTATTGAAGTTTCTTATAAAGTTAAATATAGAATTACCATGTGACCCAGAAATTCTAATCACTATTTATCCAAGAAAACATATGCCTACAAAAAGAACTGTACAAGACTATTCATAGCAACATTATACAAAAAGGCCTAAAACTGAAAATAACACTAATGCTCATCAACTGGTGAATGAATAAACAAATTGGATACTGGTCAGCAAAAAAAAGTAACATATTACTGAAACATTTAGCACATGAACGAATGTCAAAAAATTATATTGAGCAGAATAATACAGACATAAAATAAGACATGCTGTATAATTTCACATATATGAAGTTTAGGAACAGCATAGGGAAAACTAATCTATGTCGACAAAAATCAAAACAATGATTGCTGGAAAGGGCTGTGAAACAATTGTCTGTGTTTATTAAAATGTTCCATATCTTGTTTTGTCTGGTAGTTACCTGAGTGTACATAATTATTAAAACTTGTTGAACTAAACACCTGAGTGCATTTTATTGTATGTAAATTATACCTCAATAAAAATACAAAAACATAATTTTTCTCCTTTTAATCCTACTGATACTTTTTTTCTTTAAAAAAACAGATTTTATTGGGGAATTGGGGGAGGGAACAGCGTTGGGGAATCAGGGAAGGGGAGCAAACAAGTTGCTGTCCTTTTGTTCTTCAGTCTAGTTGTGGAGGACATCCCTTCGCTGGCCCATGTTGGTATTGTGATCATTGCGCTTTTCCCAGGTGAGGCAGATTGGTCGCCGGCCATAGAACAGCTACTCATGGCAGCTCATGCTGGCTGCCGGCCACTCAGGGTAGCTTTACAGAAGCCCACTGCAGCCCCACTGCAACCTACACCATCGCCTCACAGCAGCCCAGCTCCAGGTCGAGCTGTTGTTCACCATCTTAGCTGTAGAGGGTGCAGCGTCACTGGCCCTCATGTGGGATCCGAACCAGCGGCCCTACTGCTCAGTGCTCGTGCTCCCAAACCAACTCTTACCCAATGAGCCACTCGGCCGGGCCCCTACTGATAATTTTTAATCCTCTTTCTCAGTGCTTTCTCTGAGTGCAATCTCCAGTGTTGTTGCTGTTTTAAACTAGGGCATCTTCATATTGACACTAACATTGGGCCTTTAGGGAACCTGTTATTTTCACAGATAAAAAGCTAGTTGAAAAGTCAGTCAGTCAGAGGAAAGACCTTAATTAAACAGTCAAATGTTGAAATATGTGCCTTAGGGTTTATAAACTCAGAGCTTTTAGCATTCTAGAACAGGGGTCAGCAAACTGCGGCTCGCAAGCCACATGCGGCTCTCTGGGTACGTTCTGTCATAAAAGTTTGCCGACCCCTGGAAGAGCCAATCCTATCCCTCACAACAATTTAAAACTTATTCGAGAGCCATAAATATATTTTTACATAATCACCATTATGTGAATAATATCCTTTAAAAATGTTATAAATGAAACTATGATAGTTTTATTTTCATTTTCAATTTTACTTCAGAGCCTGCAGCTTGTGAGCCACAGTTTGCTGACCCCTGGCGGCTCTTCCGTCTCAAAAGTTTGCCGACCCCTGTTCTAGACAGAAGAAACAACTAGTACAAAGGCCCTATGACTGGATGTGCTTGGTGTGTCAAAGGAAGGGTGAGATTGGAGTACTTGAAATGGATTAGTAAAGATTAGAATAATTGGATATAAGATCAGAGGGAGTTAAGACTCAAATCATATAGGGCCCATGGGCCACGATAAGGATTTTGACTTTTACTTCAAGTGATGTGAAAGCCATTGGTGCGTTTTGAGCTCAGGAGTTCAATGTTGTAACAGCATCACTGAAGTGGCTATACTGAAAAGGTACTGAAGAGGTCAAAGGTGGAAGCAGAGAGATAAGTTTGATTATTCCAAGAATTCATGAGAGAAATGATGATGGCTTGGGCTAGGACAGTAATACCTATATGTACTTAACTTCTAGCTACTCTCCTTACACACAAAGTAGATGATTAGGTGCACAATGCACAGCTCCACTGGAAAGTTTATCCCTCTTTACTATCTTTCAAGGTCGCCTTGATAGAGTTTGTCATCTATTTTCAATTTTCACCCACAATCTGAGGCAACCCATATGTAAACCAAACTCAAACTTTTTCTCCTTTTCCAGCTGATCATACAGAACCCACCCTCTGCACATGAGACCATGTAGTCAAGCATGGACAAGGGCTGGTAAAATCCTGTTGGGTGACATTGGGTTTCTGAGTTACTTGTTCTTGAAACTTGCTCATGCCCTCTGGTTCTGCTTGGATGTATCACCATTTTACAAGGAGTTTCTGCTGGATCTGTCCAACTGTACAACTTGGTGAGGCTCACAGGACTCAACTTATAATGGGCTTTTTGGAAGACTGGTGTCTTCATATCCCACAGTGAAGAGCTGTTTCTACTTGGACTCAGTAACATGCCAGGAGCTGCTTCTCAAAAGTCCCATAATCCTTTGCTTCAGATGGCATGGCCTTCCTTCAGAACCCATGGGCCACTGTTGTAATTTCCCTACTGGGGCTTGTCATAATAGTTCCATACCACATCTTTTCGCACCATTGACACTTCCAGCACCATGGAATGTATAAACTCTTGTAATTCTTCATGTGCTTACCACAAGTGACTCTGGCCTTTGCACTTTTCACAGTCTTCACTCATTGAATCATTTAGAGTTTGGTCCATAATAGCAACTCATTGGTTATTGATTTATTCTTTGTCCTTTAGTGTATGCTTGAGAAACTTTCTTCCCGCAGTACCTTTTATTAAATTGTTTTTAAACCTATTTAAGACACTCATATTTTATCTTAAAAAATTTAATTTTAGTTTATAAAAAATTTCAATATCTATGTACCATAGGGTACTTACAGAAAAGCCTATCATTATTTAAAAAATAAAAGAAATCTCATAGTTCAAGAACTACCAACAAAGCAACCATGGAAATTCTCTACCTAAAAAGCTGAAAGCCTATCTTCAAATGGTTTTCATGACTCAACCAATATTTATTCTCTCTAGGTATGAAGTGACACTGAAAAAAAATGTTTCATTAAAGTTGCTTATAGACATTTTTCCTAGTCCAATAAGCAATAAGCATAATTTTTCTGGTATAAATAAAAAAGAAACAAAGAAAATACATAGAACGAACCTTTGGTATTTGTACATCTTAACCTGTTTTTCTTACTCCAACATTTGAGAGAGGTTTTGGGCAAGAGTGGCTCCAGCAAAGGAGATAAAGGAGAGCTTTCCAAAAAACCACACACGTTCCCTCATAAAAATAAAACCGGAGTCTTGGTTTGAGTCCAGCCAGGTTGGCTGCCTGTAAATTCATTATCGATCTTTCACAGGGCCCTAACGTATCTCCCCTACTCGCTTGTCACAGCAGAATTCTAATCAGGCTTTCCCCAAGTCAAAGATTTATTCACGCTGGTGCAGACCTGGTTTAGAACATTTTATTGGCAATACTGGTGTCATATTTAGGAACCACAGACTTCTGTCGGACTGTGTTAGCTTGAATGACAAGTATCAATGGTCAACTACATTTGAAATATTGTTCAAGTACCTAGAAATAATAGGCATTAAAATTCATTCTGTTCACTGCAACACACTTCTAAAGATTTCTTGACCTCAGTGGAACCAGCATACTGTAATTGTTATTTGGAACTTAATGTAACCTCAACAGCAGCAGAGACAATACAGTCCTCTCATTATGCACATGCTCTAGGATCGTTTATTTTAATGCTTTCAAATAAATATGTTCCATGCAGCACACCACAATAAATAAGGAGCAGCAATGTTCTTCTAGTAAATCCATTCATAATGTGAGTCACCATGTAAAACACCACATCTCAAGTCTTTGGCCCTGCACCATATCATGAAGCACACCACATCTGCACCTAATCATATCTGGCTTCATATGGATTTAATAGGACTATGCCAGAAGTGCATGTAAGCACAAATTTAACCAGAGGTTTCCAGCTATTAAATACAGCTACTAAGTAGTTAAAAGGCAACAACTAAATCCGTAAAGGTTCCCCCACACACACCCCTTATTTTGAGACAGAAATATAAAGATAGAAACGCTCTGGTGAATTTCGGGTTAGTGAAGGGTAGGGTGGGATATATTGGGACTATCTGGAGCAAAGCTGGCACAATATGGCACCCAAAATGTCACAGCAATACTGATACTGAATGGACACCGAGGACGAGTGGAACTGACGACTGCAGATGCTGAGCTCAGAAGGTGAAGGTGGTGGGGGCTGGGGTGGGGGTGGCTCACTTCCACTAGGCAGATAACTCCACAGCGCCTTCCTCCTCACTGTCAGCTCTGTTAGCACGGATCTCCACAAGTGTCCTTGCAAATCGGGTCCACTCATCATTGTGGGGAACTGCAAGCTGCAAAGCAAATTCATGGAAAATGGTGAACCAGATATCTTTTATATCGGAAAGCCTTGAAGCCAGCATGACTGTTCTCCTGAAGCTGACATTTCCCTTGGAATGTAAAGGAAACCAGATATTCTTCTTCTCTGAATCAGTTAGATCCCTGAATGTTGCTCTGAAGCCGACAACTTAAAGGAATTCTGTTGCTCTCAGCAGCAAAATCGCTCAAGGAATTCCTTAAAAAGCTTTAAAAACGTATGTAAGCTATACAATTAGGTAAAGTAGCCATGTAAAAACAGTTTCGGTAATGAAAATTCATCATAAGCAAACCAGACTAAGCGTGAACACAGCAAATACAAACTGCATTACTGACTGGGGTTTTGAAACAACTGTGGCATCATCTAAGTCATTGCTATTGATCCTGTTTTAAAAGTGCTACTAATGAGCCAATGTACATACACAACAAAAATCTAGCTTACATATACGAAGAAATCTTACTACTATAAAATAATGTGTTGGGTTTTCTGGCAATATCTTACGTGATGACACCTATGAATAATAGTAACAGTGACTAAAATTTACCAATTCTGTTCTAAGTACTTTACATGTATTAACTCATTCCTCACAACAATTCAATGTAGGGTAATATTAGTGTTTCATTTTACAGAAGAAGAAATCAAGAAACAGAAAGATGAAATCATCTTACCAAGGTTACATACCTCGTACTATCAGTGCCAATGTCACCTGGCTCCACTATTTACATCCTTAGCCAGTATGCTATACTGATATGCCAAAACAAAGGCGATTCATAACATTTCCCAAATAATATCTTCTTCTGTGCAAAATTCAGTGAGGAGAAAATTAACCCCACCCAATACAAATTGTATGTTTGAATTTTTGCTGGCTGATTTAAAGGATAACAACTTCTCTACATAGCATCCAAAAATGAATTGGTTAAAGATATCATGCAAAAATTTGGAATAGAACAGATAATTATTTGAAGGTGAGAAGCAGAATCAAGTAGAAGCCTGAATGATTTTCATATAGCATAAAGTTGATTTAGACTGTACAGCCATTTTCTTGGAGGTGGTGTAATGCATCTATATAGATACTAGTGCTACACATACTATCCTCATAGTTTATAAACATTAATAACACACATCCCAATCAATATGGATTTTTTTAAATAAAAAAGAGGAAGCAAATAAATCTAAGCTTTGAGATCACTTCCACAACTGACAATGTATCCACTAGAAATAGAGCCAAATAATTAGAACTTTAAATTTTTAATACGGGGATGACATTCTCAGATACTATCTGTCCAAGAGAACTTACTGGAGAGTGATATCATCATTTTACAAACTCTGTCCTTCAATCAGTGTTCTAGCACTAAGGTTAAATGTTTCAAGAATATAATTCTGGATATTATATACAGGTGGAGGAAGTAACTTCTACTTCTTTTGAGAAGTGCAGTGCTAATAATAGGAATTCTCAGTCATATGAATGAGTTTTTGAATGGTTAAATACTTTCTTATTTATTGAAATGAATCCAAATTTATTTTTAGGCAATGACGTAAGTTCACAATAGTACTGAATAACACTGTTAACCCTTTGTTCAGTCCATTTTCTCTTCTTTGAGCTCTTTTCCTGGCTTCGACTATTCTTCATTTTTCTCTTTAATTTTAGAAAATACTACACTGAGGAAATGAAGCCCTCAAAATAAATGATACAAGAGAGCTAACAAAAAGCATAATCAGCAAAGGGTTGATATCATATTTATATAAAAGAATAGGTCCACTATTTCTTTTCTTTTCTACAACTCCTGACCAAGTCCTTCCATAAAGAACCACAAAACAAAAGCCCAAGAAAAGATAAAAAGCGAATCATGATAATGTATTTATAATGTTTTCTCATATAAGGTGAGACCCAAGCTAAAGCTAAAAGCACCTCATAACTTTATATAACTTGACCTATTGGGGAAAAGCAGGTCTCATTAATAATACATAGTATATTGTTCATAAGGATCAACATACTCTGGGAGTTTGGCTCTTAAACATAACACTATATTATTGGTTACAATGGTACAAATTTAAGTTAACATATGATGCCATATGTAATGTTTTATTGATAGCAATATCTAGAAATTGTATACTAAAACAAGAAATTAGGTAAATATGTTTACATAGTTTCATGTAGCAGCAATGGCAAGACTATTAAGAAACAACACTAATAAAGTTTATGAAACAAAGGTCTGAATATGTGCCCAAATACAGTGTGGGACAGAACTGAGTATCATTTATGACAAAGTTGTACATCTAACTTTTCAAAAATGAATTTTATCAAATTTCAATGTTTGTGATAAATGAAAATACCCTACAGTGGAACTACAGTTGACCTTTCCCATGGGGTGGGGATGGTGGGAATAACAGTACTATAATACCAACATTTGTCCTTAAAAATACAGATTATCCCTCACAAAAGGTTTTACAGTATTTTAACATATCTTGTCCTCTTTTTGATCTGTGCAAGTTTTACTTAGTTTGGAAAAATTAGAAGCTCTTTTTCTTTTTTAAACCCTGTTCTGTTAAGTATTTTCCTCTCTAGAATACCATAAATAACACAGAAATGTTAGTTTGCTTTGATTCACACACACAAAAAATTCTAGAGTAGAACACGATAAAAACACAGATGCTTCTAGAAACTTAACTTGATCTACCTCATCCTATTACATGTTTTCATTTAGTTGACTATAAAAATAACCCAAGAGGATTGTAATGTTCGAGTTAGAAGGTGAACGGCACATTGCCCCATTTTTAGAATAAGTCAGGAAGAGCTGTAAGCACAATCTTAGCATGAATGTGTGAATGTGCATTCACAGGCAGTTTCCACATTCCAAGTAAAATACTTTTTGGCATTTGAATTCTTTGTAGGTAAGACCCAACAGGCGTCCTGACAACCAAGACCACTTTTTCCATTTGACATCTTTGGCTGTAAACAGCATCTGTTTGGACAGCATCATCCTTCTTACCCTTGGCAGTTCCTGATTCTTCTCGCCTGGCTCTCTCTGATTAGAAAATGCTAGAAAGGAGGTTGAGGAGCATAAATGCATCCAAGACTTTTCTCTCAGAGATTTTTAATCCAATAATACCTCAGTCATTAAGTAGGAAAAATCTTTGCTCACGTGTCTTAGTTAAAGAAAAAGACTGCTCTCAAGTCCTTTGAAACTACAATAGCATACAAATTTATTCCATCAGTATCGACTGGGTACCAACCATATGCCAGGTACTATGCTAGGGATGAAAGATACAGCAGTGAATCATTTTGGCATATGACTATGGGATACAGATGAAAATTAATTATCATATTTTCTTAGGTCTAAATGTGTGAATACTGGCACAGTTTTTTTTTAACTACACTGACATTCAAAATATGAATTGTCTCAAATTTACCTTCTTACAGTGACAACTGCAACATTTCCTGGTATGTGTTGTGTGTCAAGCAAGTAGTGGGAAGCAAATGGCATGTTAATGACATGGCTTCAGCACCTCTTCAAGTTTCTATCAAGGCATGAAAGGCTAAATCTAGAACATCACTATAGATAGTGTTCCCCCTGAAAATAATAATTTAAAATAATTTTCAAACAATTTACATCCGCGATAGGAAAAATATTTGCAAGTTTCTAATGGTGATGATTATTTTCAATCAATTAAAAACACCTATTAGAAACACTGTGAAGAAAATAGCCCATAGTTCCATCAAGGGAACACCATAAAGGAAGGACTCATAAAAGTTGTCCAGTATTGTACTGAATCAAAGTGCATTTTTCTGCCTTCAGATTCATCAGCCAAAGTCCACATTCTAGGTCACGGATGATTCAGATTTTCCCACTGCTTCACATACAAGGCTCACAGTAACAAGTTCACCCTCTGCCCCCACCTCCCTCCCCCCCTATAGGTGCCAGTTTGCTAATTTTTTGCTAATTGTATAGAGCATTTTTATGCCAAAAAAGACTCAGGGTTCTGATTCCTGAGATAACAAAATCTTAGCTCTAAGAGTGGTCACCCTTTAAAGATGTGATATGACCCAATCATATCACTGTAAACAGCCAATGCCGAAAGCAGTTACTGAGGTAGCAATTTGGCCATAAGGAGGAGGTAAAATGATTTGGACAGGAGACTTACATCCTCCTCTCTTGGTTACAGGCAATGGTCAGGCACTTAACCTCTCATTGCCTCAATTGTAAAGTGGGGATGATGGTGTCTGACCCATTTATCAACAGAGATGTGGAGAGGGTGAGAACAGTAATCTACGTGAAGGAAATACTACGAGTACAGAAGAGTCGTACATTCTTTTTCTTTAAACTGCCATTCAGATTGAACACGTTCTCAAAAATGATATAAGTGGCATACATAACAATTCTATAACATTTGTGTGTTTTGGTGTTTGTTTGCTTTAAGAACTAATTCTGATGTTTTGTATGTGAAGACATTAAGAAACAGGGTACAGGCCTCTCTTTAACAGGTAGGAAACAGAAATACAGGGAGCTAAATGGGTTGCCAAAGACCACAAAACTTTCACGCTTTGTTCTGTTTGTGTGAGGCAATCAGGAGCCTCACCCCTTTAAAAAATGCCCGCATACCAGGGCAGAATGGCAGCTAATGTGTTTTGAATCACTGCTAAAAGATTCTAAAGATTGTTTTTAATGGTCTCAGATTCTTAGAAGGCAAAGGTCATCTAAATAAAAAGCAAAAGTGCAGAACGTATGGAAAAATTCATGAAAGTTTTAGTTCCTCCTCCCTCTCCCCACCACTTCTGAGGCCATGTCATGGATCTGCCCCCGCCCCTCTGCCTGAGTGGACTGGAGGGGACCCCTGGACCTTGCCCCACCCCCTCCCCAAATACCCCATCAGCCTAATCACTGGGTGTCTTGCCTGGGCTTCTGTGCACTTCAAGGGAGGCAAAGATTGCAGAATAACTAGATTTTGAGAAATGAGCCAGGGTTGACTTTTGCCCCT